ATTTGCATAATATTTCTAATTTTTGTACTCTCTGTAATTAGATCATGTTGTTGCATTTTCTCTTCGTCAAATTCCATTCATGTGAGGGATTATTGGAAAATTTGGTTTTTATAGGCTTATTTTTGGCCAACTGGCCCAAAATTGAGTGGGGTCCACACGGTTTTTGAGGTGGATCCAAAGAGATGACGTGTTCCTTGCCGCATGGCAAGTCACACGGTGAAGACGGTTCATCAAAACCATTTATGAGTGAATGAGAACTTGACGTCGTTTTCAGGTTCATGGAATGGACATTTTAAGAATTAAATGTGGGTTTCCTTGAAATCGATTATCCTACATTGAAACGTTAAGAGAGCTTTTATGAGTATATAAGCTCTTAGTGTACTAACTTGGGCTGGGCCCCAAAGGGCACCTCAAGTTTGTAGAAGGGAAGAGTTATGGACAAAGTGAACCTTAGCCCAAACCACCACACGTGCGCCGTCCGACCGGATAGGCGCGAATGTGGGTCGGGTCGGTTCTAATATTAATTTTTTGGACAAAATTTATTTGAATTTTTAATGAAATCAAATTCAAATTTTGTTCCAAAAATTGAATTAATTTTCTGTCCATTTTTATCTCCTTCAGTCCGAAATTTCCAACAAGTTAACTGCTTGAATCTGCTCATAACTGCTACAGTTACACAGATAGAAACTGCACAATTTGGACAGATCTGTTGAATTTTGGACTGCATTTGTTCATTCAAAATCTGCACTTGTTCGGTTCAATTGAACCTATTCGGGCAGATTATTTTGCTTATAAATAAATACCAGCATTATTCCAACAATTTGGACATCCGGAAATAATCTGAAAGTTTCATTTTGCTGTCCAGTTTTGCTCCTTTGCATAAATACTCTTCATATTAGTTTTTAAGAAAAAATTAAAGAGAGTATAGAACATAAGATTTTTATTCGCCAAACAAATTGTTTGAAGTGCTACTACAATTTGTGAAGATCATTGTATCTTGGAAGATAGACATCATTTTTCCGTAAGCACCGTAGCGTAGCGAATCTGTCTTAAGGACAGAGTATCACACACTCGACTTGATCTTTAAATATTTATTCGGTTTGACAAAATAAATTCGGTACGTAATTTATTTATTTGTTTGATTTGTTTCAATTTATTTATTTTACACAGAAGATTTTTCCAACACTATACATACAAGTTTATTGTGAAGAACTTCTCATCAAACAAAAGTAGAAAGTGAAATAAAAGAGCATAAGTGTTTTGGAGGTGTGGGGTTCCAAGATTTAGGGAGCAGTAGGCTAAAAGAGAATTAATATTCTTCTTTCAACTTCATAAAATTTTCCCGAGTGCTATGTTAATTTACATGTCCTATGTATGTATGAAATGTTGGTGTGCTTGGAAATGGGGTGTAAGTTTAGGTGTTAGTATGAATAAGTGATGCTACCTTGTATTTTCTGCTGATTTCATGACTATCACTCTTGGAAAAATATCAAACTTACTTCTTTTTCAAAACTGAATGTAGGGGATGATCTTTGAGGTGTTTAGAGCATGTGACATTTTTGGTAGCCCCTAATTAGACGTTTTTATAGTCTACAACATTTTCTTAAACAATCCAGCCCTGTGTTTCTAGAAAACAGACCATTTCGTGTATTTAAAAAAAAAAAAAAACAATTCTAGAAAAATCATCTTAGGTTGGTTCTTATGTCAAAACTTATCATTTTTAGCCCTCTTTCCAAGAAAATTTATTTGAACAAAAGTTATTGGATAGATTGAGAGAAATGCTCATTTTCCTAAAACTGTGTCAAATCTGGACAGAATATGGCTTATGGCCTATAGCTAAAAAATCTGGTTAAGGTTATGCAAATTCTGAAATTGGGAATGAAAGTAAACTTATTATTCTATGTTTCTGTTAATTTTCAAAACCTAAAAAGGTCCAAAATTATTTTTACCGACCCAATCCTTTGGCTCCTACTAATCTAAAATCTGCTAAAAATGTGTTACTTTTTTGTGTTAAATGTTCCTGAGTGCTAAAAAGCATGCCAAACGTTGTTTACTTGCCTTACCATACTTGTATGTATTAATTTGTTATATTTCATCCCATATATTTGCCTCATATTCATGTATATTATCACAGTTAGATGTTGGTTTTGATGTTGAAATACTAGGTGAGCAAAATGGCAACTTGATAGCTAAGGATTTTTTTTTTTTAATTGTTGTCATGCAGAGTTTTGGTGTTGTTCTAAAGATAATAGATGTCTTGAAGCTAAACAAATAAAATAGAAGTCTTCTAGAAATCCACATTTTGGTACATGTGTTTTTGAATGGAAAACTTTCCCTCAATCACTAATTTTTATTTTTTGTTTTGAACAGCCAAGAACACAAAATTTGGAAACCTGGATTTTTTTTTCTTATTAAGGTTCTTTTATAAGACAAAACATCAAATAATGTTAGGAATAACATCCGCTTGATAAATTAGAATGCATATATTTTTTTTATAGCATAACTATTTATTCTAACATTGCCAGAAAAGAACAAATAAGAATCTAAAATGTTTGATTGGTTCTCTCTTCTGTTGATTCTCTTTAGGTGTTCAGATCTTCTATTCTCAGATATCATTAAATTGGCCATGATGTAGTTGTGTTATGGCCTGAAATGTAGGACTGTTGCAGGGAGCTATTTGTGACTGCTGCATCTGATGCTACTGTCTGCATTGCTAGAATTGTAAATCCTGCTGGAGTTGTGCAATTGGTTGCTGCTGTTGTAGCTGGTGCAACTGGTTGCTAATATATTTTTTTTTTTGTGTACGGAGGACATGTTTTGTATGGAATTATTATTTTAGGTTGGAATATATTTAGTTTGTACGAAATTTGACATTAAAGTGATTCCTTTTTGGATGGTTGGGAGTGAAATGGTTGAAAATTGTGGAATGATTGATAATATATGTGTTGGTTTATTTATATACATGGTACAGGTTGCACGGAATACATACAGGTTGTGGACAAAATAATTATAAAAAAAATAAAATCATGTTTTTGGCGACTAAACAATTGGTAGCCAAAAAAAGAAATAAATATTTTTAATGACTAAATAGGTAGCAGCTAAAAAATAAAAATAAAATGAAAAAACCTTTTTGGCTACTAAATATTTAGTAGCCATAAAAAAATCAGACTTTAGGCGACTAAGACTTTAGTAGTTAAAAAAAAATAAAATGAAAAAAAAAAGTTTAGCGACTAAAACCTTAGTAGCTAAAAACAAAATCAAACTTTGGGCGACTAAAATATTTAGTAGTTAAAAAAAATAAGATAAACAACAAAAGCTTTTTTGGCGACTAAAACTTTAGTCACCGTAAATAATTTAGTTTTTGGCGACAAAATTTTTTTAGTCGCTAAAAATGCGATATTAATTTTTTTTGAAAGGTTTTGGCGACTAAAAAATTAGTCAGCAATTAATAACTTTCGGCGAGTAAATTTTTTTTGGTTGCCAAAACCTTTCCCGACAATTATTCAACGACTAATCTATCGCTAAAAAATTTCGGCAATTGAAAATTAACGTTTGGCAACTAAAAATTTAGTCACCAAAATGACAATTGTTGTAGTGGTAATAAAAATGGAAGAATACTTGCCCACCATTCACCTTTGGAATGCAAGGCTCTATACATTTTTCTTAGAATAGACATTTAAAATTTTAAATATCACAAATTATATAAAAAAAATCACACTAACTAAAAGAAATTAAAAATTTTGACGGATACTTGGTACAGATAAATATTTCGTTTTATAAATAAAATTTTTCTTGGTTGAAAATGAATACTTTCAAAACACATGCCACACAATTGTAATACTTTCGGGATTGTGAAGGACACTTACATTCCTTTCAAAAGAAGGAAAGTGACCAATTCAAGATTCGGGTTTGTGCGGTATAACTGTAGCATAGCAGCATCTGTCACAATCCAAAAAGGAAATGGGCTCTTGGTGGATGACTCTATGCTAGAGGTCAAACTGGCTGCTTATGACAGAAATAGCAGAAATGAACAGAGTAAGAAGATATTCTTAACTGTTCTGAGCTGCTTTGTGTTGATGGTTTCTGATTTGTTAAGGTGAGCAGGGTTAGCTGAGATGATAGTGGCTGGGGATGGACTGCTAGTGTATGGATGTTGTCTTTTTGTTTTTGTCTTGTTTTGTTCTGCTCTGTTTGTTGGTTTCTCACCATCTTGGAGCCTCGAGTGTGTGCTAGCAGATGATTGGGTGTGCGTTTAGGTGCCAACCTAGTTGGGATCCAAATGTTTCACTGTGATGCTTTTTGCACCCTCTTCTTTATTGATGTATCTTATCATTCTTGTTATGTTTTTCATCAATAAAGCTTTTATTTTGCCGATCAAAAAAAAAAACATTTTAAATAGGCAAACTCACGTGAAAAGTCTCTAAAATATCAAAAACCCTTTAAAACATGTTTTATCGCATCAAAAACCAGTTAAAAAAACACATTGATCAAATTCTTTTGGTGTGATGTGATCTTGTAATAGAAGGGGTGTTCAAATATTTGATGCTAACCAGCAAAATTTTTAGAATTGACAATTAACAATCCAAGTACTACCTGTATAATTTTGTTTTAGGGGGTTCAAATTTTTTTATGCAAACAATCTTAAGGAGGAAAAATATGATCCGCAGTGACGTAGGGCCCTGTTCGGCCAAGTTGGCAGCCTGTGATAGGATTTGGCAGATTATAGCCACAAGGCATGGTATGATTAGCATAGCGATGGTCAAGACAAACTCAAACAAGAAACTAATGACCAAGATCGAAACGATCTTGTTAAAGAGATGGGGATCCTATCCTTAGGGAAGTTTCATAAAAAATAAAATAAAATAAAAAGCTTATAAAAATGACACTGAACTGAAGAAGAAGAAGAAGAAGAAGAAAAAAACCACCAGCCTACAAAACGAATTTAAAACAAAACACACCATCACTTGAGCATATTTATAGTCAATAACATGTTGAAAACTTACATTGAAGTTCGAAGTTTTTAGAGTTGGCCAGAGTTTACGATAGATGCCCTCTTCGAAGGTGTTGCATGCATGCATACCAAACCTAAAGCATTTCAAGCTATTAACTGTTCTAAGCTTCCAAGTTATTCCAAGTCATATGTCTCCAAAGCCACCACCACCAGTCTGATGCAGCATGGCATCAACTTCATCACAATCCTCCATGCCAAGCTATCAAAAAAATCAAATACGAACAATCTAGCTTAAATTTAAGATATGTTAAACTATAAGGTTGAATATGTTTTATTTGTTACGAATATGTTTTATTTGTTACAAATATGAAATGAAAATAAACATACCATATAACAAACTTTAGGGAAAAAGAGAAAAGAAGAAAGTGAAATAATTTTACTTGATCTGGGGTTTGTTCCGCGTGAATACGGCGTCCATCGAACAAGAACACGATGGACTTGGGGTCCAACGACTGTCGGTCACAATAAGCTGTCATGAGCTTGCGGAGCTGGGTATTACGTTTAATCCTGAAATACACCTCATTCCCTTCCTGAATCAGACCACCACCAAAAAGGTAACGGAGAGAGGGGGGGAAAAAAAAAAGGTCATGAACAAGATGCCAAGTATATTTGACAAGTAAGACCCGTGCTTACCATCAGATAGCAAATCTCTGTGGAATATGTATTTTAACCACCAAAAAGGCAAGGGAGAAAGAGAAATTGATATAGACTTCTATATAACCTACATATTGTCCAGCATAACTGGGATCCAAAGCTTAAAATAATGAAGCAACATAGCCTAATAACTAGCAGCTAGCAAGTAGCTTACGGCACACAAAACTGTGGAACATTGATACTAAATTTATCAAATTTCTTACCAATTGGACAAGATTATGGTGACACTGATAAACAAAAAAGCATATAATCAGAGGCATATTTAAAAAACACAAGATGGACAATGTATATGAAGATCCACAACATTAAAGTCAGTAAGCAAAAGAGAGAAATTGAAGGTGATAAACATGGTTTTTGACCCAAAACCCAACTAATCAAATACAAACAACATTGACAATAAAGCCTTATTCAATCCACTAAGCATTCCAATACTACATTTTCTTCAACTCAAAACCGTGCACGTGCATCTGCACACAGACAAGTCACGGTTCCATTGAAATATGAATTTAGGTTGTGGCTTAAATCAACATCTTCCAGAGAAATTGGTAAGTATTAATAAATTTGTCCCCTGTTCCATATCTATGGTATTTGATACCTTAATTGCTTTCTTCATGGCTTACTTAAATGGATGGTTGTATCCCTTTGTTTAAAATTCCATTGCTTCATGCACACAACAAATAGAGAGGTTTAAATGCTGTGGCCTGTACAAGCAGATGACAGATTGCATCCATTCAAACACATCAAGTAATTCTAAGTGAGAACTCTTCACACCAAGTCATACTCGTTCATAATAACTCGTAAGCTTTGAATCTGAAAATAGTTATAGAATAAAGCATTCAGACATAACAGTAAATACTATTATCACAGACAAAAGAAGGGAACATTATTTAATGAATCACAAAAATAAATGATTTCGTGGAAGCATAATTTAAATTAATTAATCAGGTGCAAAAAATTAACACAACACAAACAAGAGAAATTGAATTGATTCACACAATAGCAAGGCTATATTACCTAGTTCCTGATGAAGTCTAAACTCACATAAAATGTGCAATCCACAAGCACGGAACCATGCAGTGAACTAGGGGCACGACAAATAAATAAATAAAGAGAAAAGTTAGGGATCATGAAATTTTTTTCATGAAAATGATTATGAAAGATTTGTGACTCTTGGATTACCTTGATTAGTGTGTGGTACTTTATTTTAAATGTAATCAAAGGGTCATAAATCTTTCATGATCATTTTCATGAAAGTTTTTTCATGATACCTAGCATTAAATAAATAACCAATTCCTTTCGATATGTTCCAAAGTCACAGACACCTAGGCAACAAGTGTTTGGTGAACATTAGAAAATGATGTAGATATTATACTAAGAGAACCCTAATGTTCTCATAGAAGGCAATCTTTATGGTCAATCATTAATCTTTAAGTACCCATGTTAGGGAGAAAAGAAACTGAATAGTGTTAACAGATTTCCACTTGTAGATGTTTTATTTGACATAATTTTTCTTATGTATAGTGTTTGTGTATGAAAAGATACCATAAGCTTCAGTTATTGTGGTAAAAGCCATCACTTTGAAATTTGTCCATCTGATACCAATCATAACAATTTATAAGTCATAATAGTTATCTCTCTCTTGGATTTTGTATGACCACATCATCAATTTTCAGTGAACAACCAAACTGAAACCTCAAATGAAAACGTTACCAAAAATTTTACCATTACTACCATTTCACCACTGGGCCCTGCTGCTTTACTTGCTTTGATCTTCTTCATTTTCAGCAACCCCCATATGCCATTCAGTAGGACACACTTACTTACCAATCAATCCAAATCCATTACTCTCCTACTCCTATCATCCAACTTGTTTTGTGAAGGTAAATTTGAATTTCCTAAAGACTCCAAACAGGTACCAACCAGCTGATTATGCTAGGCCTGCCAAAGTTTCTTCTATTCCGATAGGGACAAGCGGTTTGTAAAAGGACACAGCTACTGATTGGGCCAGCCAGTTAGGATTGGGAATTGTAGAATTGCAAAGAAAGGACCTTGGTTGCTAACTAATCCATGGCGATAAACAAAATAATGCCTCATCTCTAATTTAAACATCACTTCATCCTAATCCCTCCAACCTTGCATCTCTCCATAAAAAGACAATGATGAGATGAGATATGAATTCTTATTAAGTTAGTTGAGTCTGTGCACCCCCAAAGGCACATTGTATGAAAATGCATTGTCGTAGTCAAAATTCAAAAAGCCAACAAAACAGCTAACACTACAAGAAATTAAGGTTTTAAAAACAAATTTTTAGGGACAAAAATAATTTGTCTGCAAAAATTATACTTTTAAGGACAAAATGAAAGAATTTAAAAGAAATATATATTTAATCATATTGTTACATTTTCTAGACAAATTTACTTTTAAAGCTTCAAGCATATATGACTGCAGATTTAGCTTACAGGAGCAACATGTTTTTATAAATCAGATTCAAAGCTTTTTACCAAATGGAACCACTGAAGATAAAAGATGCAAAAATCAACTTGATCGGATGACTTCAACCAAATTTGAAGTACTAACAAAAAAAGCTCTCAAAATTGTTTTCAAAAATAAAATATAAGATAGGGATAGCTAGATTGCTTTAGTGAAATTCTTTCCAAGTCCATCAATTTTGGCTCCATTTTCTCAAACAAAAATGTTACATAGCATGGGCAAGTCAGCATATATCTTGATAAGAGCAAATCTATTTCTCTATACCACTCCAACGAGGAATAATAATGAATTCCAAATAATGTGTGATTGAATTATAGTCACCAGAGTGGCATGTGAAAAGCTTGGCTTGACCAATTTATAATAAATAAACAGGTGAGCACTATTTTTATCAAAACAATATATTATAATAAATATGTAACATCAAAATTTTTCCAAAAAATCAATACGGTTCTGCTACATCCACACAAATATAAGCACCAGAATGATGTTGCCCGAATAGTGCGTTTGTTTCACACGCTAACACAAAACCCAAATCACAAACACAAAACAACCTCTCTCTCTCTCAAACAGCTACACCCTCTCTCTCACCGAGACCCACCGGGATCACTCTCTCACCGATGCCCACAAACCACCACCGACAAACTCACCACTCATTCACTTCTCTCTCTCCTCTCGATTCGAATCTCTTCTTCTTGGAGGATTTCTTCGAGAGTTTCTTCAAACGATCTCGATTCTTGTCGAATAGATTGCTGAGAGAGGTCAAAAAACTAGTCTCCACCACCAAAGATCCGCCATGCTTCGACGACTGGATGTGATCTGCCACCAACTAGGTGATCGACTTCCCTTCGTTTTCTTCCACACAAGCATGATTCTTTGTTGTTCTTCTTCTTTCTCACACTCGCAATTCAACAAAACCAAAATGGTTTTCTTTAATTATAAAGAATCTCAAGAAAAACATATAAATACAAAAAATCAAGAAAAAGTTTGTGTGAAAAAAAAGAATTTTGTAAAGAGAGTATGAAAGAATTGAAAGGATCAATGTAAAGATATATGGGTTTACTGTGAAACCTGAAATCCGAGAAAGAGAAAGAAGAGAGAGTGAGCAAGAGAAGATAGGTTAAATTATATGATTTTTTAGACTCGTGAATTGGAGTTGTATAAGAAATTCATTTTTATATATAAGGTCGCTAGAGAGATAGAGAGAGAAGAAGAAGGCTATGACAGAGAGAGACCTGTGAAAGAGGGAGAAAAGCATCTGATTACCATTTGAGAAAAAACATTTGTTTCCCCTCAAACTGTAAATAAATGATTTTTATCTCACACGGCGCTTTCTCTCTCTCACAGCCTTCGTCTTCTATCTCTATCTCTTTCACAACCTTACATATAAAAATGAAATTCTTGTACAATTCCAATTCACGAGTCTGAAAAATCATATAATTTAACCCATCCTCTCTCGCTCACTCTCTCTTCTTTCTCTTTCTCAGATTTCAAGTTTCACAGTGAACCCATAAATCTTTACATTGATCTTTTTAATTCTTTCATACTTTCTTTCCAAAATTCTCTTTTTTCATACAAATTTTTTCTGGATTATCGGTATCTATTTGTTTTTCTTGAGATTCTTTACAATTAAAGAAAACCATTTTGGTTTTTGTTGAATTGAGAGTGTGAGAATGAAAAAGAACAACCAAGAATCATGCTTGTGTGGAAGAAAGCGAAGGGGAATCGAATCACGCAGTTGGTGGCGGATCACATCCAGTCGTCGAAGTGTGGAGGATCTTTGGTGGTGGAGACTAGTTTGTCGACATCTCTCGGTGACCTATTCGTTAAGAATCGAGATCGTTTTAAGAAACCCTCGAAGAAATCCTCCAAGAAAAAGAGATTCGAGTCGAGAGGAGAAAGAGAAGTGAATGAGTGGTGGGTTTGTCGGTGGTAATCGGTGGTGGGCATCCGTGAGAGAGTGATTCAGTGGGTGTCGGTGAGAGTGAGAGTGTTGCTGTTTGAGAGAGAGAGAGGGGTTGTTTTGTGTTTGTAATTTAGGGGTGATTTAGAATGTCTTAAATAAGTGCACTTTTTGACTTTTTATGAAATATGGGTTGGGTATGGGTTGGGTTTGAAGTGATGTGATAGAGAGATGATGTGACTTAAATAGGATGATATGACTTAAATAGGATAGTGATTTATTAAAATTTTTTAGTTTATGCCAAACAAGACTTTAGTGTTCGTGCCCGAAACAAATGTACTTTTGGGGCAACTGAGGTTCTGCTTTCCCAAGCCCAATGGCTATTTGTGTAGATGTAGGAGAACCAAACATAATTTAGCTTTTTTATTAGATTGTAATTTGGTTGTGTACATTGGTTTCATAAATTGCCCATTATGTTTTAAATAAACATGAGATGAGATTTATACCAATATCAATGAAAGTGTCATGGATTGGTCAATATCAAACAGTAACCGATATATGTATTGACGATACAACCGATGATAGATAAACATACATATACAGAATGTGCAATCACGAAAACTAAAACAATAACACAAGCCCATCCAGACATAAACACAATCACGCAGACTATAAAAATTAAAAATTAAAAAAAAAAATTGAATCTTGTGAAAACTTATCAAGCACTTCTTCATGTAAACAATAAACATACATATACAGAATGTGCAATCACGAAAACTAAAACAATAACACAAGCCCATCCAGACATAAACACAATCACGCAGACTATAAAAATTAAAAATTAAAAAAAAAATTGAATCTTGTGAAAACTTATCAAGCACTTCTTCATGTAAACAATAAACATACATATACAGAATGTGCAAACTTTTTTTTAATTTTTTTTAAGGTAGTAAGGAAAGTTATACAGAATGTGCAATCAAGAAAATTAAAACAATAACACAAGCCCATATAGACATAAACACAAGCACACAGACTACAAAAATTAAAAAATTATAATAAAAAAACTGAATCTTGTGAAAACTTATCAAGCACTCCTTCATGTAGACATTGAAATCAACGCATGCATGTCGAAATCAGAAACCAATGCCAGCCAAACAAACAAACACAAGAGAATCAAAGTAACAGTGAATGCACCAAAATCAATCAATCTAAAACATAAACCCTGGAAGAAAAAAAAAAAAGAATAAAAAACAAGAATAAATGATACCTGGTTCTTGACCTTGATATTGAGTTGGTTTGATTGAGACTGATCAGCCATGTTGGGTTTCTGATCTTCAGATTGAGGACCATTACCTGCTCCCATTCCAGACATTGTTGTAGTTGGCCCGCAGAAGACTAGGGTCTCTCTCTCTCTCTCTCTCTCTCCAAATAGCTTTTCTCTCTCTAAAAACACAAGATGGACAGCAGTGAAACCAAAAGGCTATTCTGCAGAAGAAGCCGCCGCTGTCAGTATTATATACGTGTAACCATGACGTAACGCAAAAGGATTTCTAGAAGGGTGAGGCTATTCTATAATCGGTTTACAAACGTAATCATCAAGAAGTAACCGTTTATAACACCACGTGTATAATATCAAAATAAAAGTAAATAATTAAGGCAAATTTATCCATAAATCCTAGTTTTTGAAAAGTTGAATCATTTAATTTTAAAAGTTTTCTTATGCTCCATTTAGTCCTATTTATACATCATCATGATGTTCATGATGTAAATGAATCTGATGTTTCATTCTATAATTTCAAAATTTATTGAAATCTGATGAACATTAGATGTTTGAAATCTAATGTTTGAAACATTCATCCTATAATTTCAAACATTATTGAAATCTGATGAACATTAGATGTTTGAAATCTAATGTTTGAAACATTAATCTGATGTTTGAAACATCGTAATGGGACCTTTCAGTCTATAAGAAAACTTTTAGGACTAAACAGTGTATAAGTTATTAATTTGGAATTTATTGGTACA